GACTTTTTTCAGGACTACTCAGTGAATTTTAATGAAGTCCATTCAGTAATAACACTAAAACTGTTTAGCAAAAAGCAGTGCTCTGCCAATCCAGCCAGGCGTTACCTTTTGTAGGTGGGAGCGACGGCAGCAAGATGAAGTGACTGCCCCAGACACTACAAGAGGGGTAAGACATAAAGGATCACACAAGAACGCAGGCAACAAGATAAACCTGGGACCCGAATGAGCTCTGGATAAAACTGACTGGCGGTCCAATTCCAAACTGGCATTTCCATAGTTCTGTTTTGAGTCTGCAGCTGAAAGTTCACCTTGCAAAGTACTTCATTTGCTCCTTACTCCCTTTTCTGTCTTGATGACAAAATCCTTTGCACATTTGGAAACCATAAGTTTCTTACTATTTTTTGTACCAAATCAGCAAGCCTACAGCTCCTGCGAGCCACAAAGATGAACGCCCAAAGTTCACAGATCAATGCTCTAGCAAAGTTTTTTGAGTCACATGAACACGTTTTGTTTTTTAAGAAGTACACCAGCACTACAAGAGAGCTTGGGTGGACATACGGAGGATACACACAATGAGCAAGAACTTGCACTGCCCTATTTTGAAGCTGGATATGTTCTCTAAACACTTGTTTATCCTGATGAAAAGCATTTCCAGCAGTAACACTGAGATGCTTTGAACTTTGAGATGCCAGTGGTTAAAATCTGACATGAAGCCAATAAATGTAATAAAGAAACAGAAAAGGAAATTATGAAGGCTATTTCAGTACTGCTGATTGCCCAAAACATGGGAAAATGGGAAAAAAATAAGAATATGTAGTACCTCACATTTAAAACCAAAGCCCAGAGGGGCAAGAAAACATTAGGGAAACAGAGATTGACACCCTGTGAATGATCACAGATGGCTTTTGCATGTTCTTATTCATGAACTGTTTCTATTAACTCCTTTGTGCAAAGGCATTGGAGGGTAACAGATTATGATTTAATGGAAGAGTATTGGATTGAAACAAAGACACACATCTGAGATATTTTCTTCCACGGAGAGAGATCCTTTTATCTCACCAAAGGGCAGTCCTGGCCAGGGACTACTTATGTAGAGATTCCGAGTATAAGGCTCCTGGATGGAGCCGTACATGGATGAGAGACAAGGCCAGCTGCTCTCAGAGACAGCAGTACTCACTCTTGATTCAAAAGGGTCTGTCCTTGCATGGCCTTGCTGGGCTTAATGGATTTTGTGATACCAGTAACAAGAACACATGGACAGCTACTCCGGGACAGATCAAAGGCCAAAACCATCGGACGCTGTCTCCATCAGCAGCCACACACAGATTTGCAGAAGAGTAAGGGCAGGCTAAGCATACAGAACAGTTCCTCCTAGCACTACCACTTTCAGGTCAGAGATTTCCTGAGCCTGCTGCAGTTGCTCTGTTTAGCAATCCTCGTGAAGATTTCTCTTCCAGGGAGTTGTCCAGCCTCCCTATGAGTAAAAGTACTCATCTTCAGGGGAAGATGAGCATCTGCAAGCTCCTTGCATTCAGAACCTGCTTCAGAGAGGAGTTCCATAGGTCTTACATTGCATGGAAACACACCTTCCAGTACTTTTTTGGTACATGGCTTCCACTACTTTCATATGATGGCCCTTACTTCTTTCACTAGGAAGAAAAAAATGAACCATCTATCCCTAGCTGCTTGTTCTATGCCAGTCATGAGTCTGTAGACCTGGTATTGTCTCAGCAGCTATACCACAGAAGATTTAATGTCCTGAAACATTAAGGTAGAAGGCTGATGCGTCGCACTAAGTTTGGCAAACTGGACAGTGGATTTTAGAAGTATTACATTAGCTTTTGAGATAGATTTAATTTATTTACACACTTATTCAGGTAAGGGGGGAAAGCAATTTTCCTGGTTCAGAGTATGTCAGAAGAATTAAGCACAACCAGTCTTAGGAAGGAAAAATGGAAGTGAATGGAGGAATATTCAGGGGAAGGGAGAGTATAAGGTGGTCAAGTGTGACACAGAAACACATCTGTCTAAATCAGGTACATGTCAGGCTCACATACACACACACTCACACACACATGCATGGGCAACACGACATCTACAAACACTGTTGTGAGCTAGAGGAAATGAGAAAGAGGAAAGTGTGTTCTGAAACCCAGGCAAGCCGGCATAGTGGGCTGGCATGCTGCATAACAGATCAAAGCGGGGCAGGAGAGAGAATGACTATCAGTGCTGTATGCTTATTAGGTCTTGCTGTTCTGCTTTATACTGCATTCACTGAATTTTCCCCTTCTGGTCTCACTTTAAATGCATGCACCTTTCACAGATGGTTTTCACCATCCCTCCTGTAATTGCATCTGAACTAAAAGGCAGGGGAGAGAACTGCACACAGGACATGTCTGTGCATGAGCTAGGAAAATCTCCCGTGCTGGGCCAGTATTGCTGGTCAGAGCCAGAAGCACCCTCAGAGCCATGGAGGAGGAGAGTCAAAGTGAACTGTGAGCTTGTTCTGCTGCAGCAGTGGACTGCCTACAGAGTATCCTCAAACCATGAACCTGAATACGAGTCCAACCATCACAATTCCTGAGAGGTGTTCAGGGCTGGGAATACGGGAGAAGAAGAGGAACAAAGAAGAATTTGCCTTGTTTGTAGTAAGAAATGCTGCGTAATTCCATGGCAATTTCTAGGAAGCTCTTGCATTCATCTTCCCAAGCACAGCCACCCAGCTAAGCAAGGTGCTGAATGTGAACTCTTGCTGTCACTTTATCCCTTTATTTCCCCTTACTTTCACTGGCTGGGGATGTGAACCACAGGGCCTCCCTACTTTGATGCACAAGTCACCTCTTCATGCTTCCTCCCACCTTCCTTTTCTCTTTTCTTTGTACTCTGCTCCAACTTAAATTTTTCAGGTTGAATTACTTCTCTCTTTTTCAAGACTTCCTGATCAGGTCAGGTGATACGACACAGGATAGTTTGGCACCCCATCTCTCGTGAGCTGTCTTGCCTGGGAGAGGGAGTTCTCATTTTTAAGTTTCAAGAGTCTATTCATTTTGGTTTTGCTCCATGTGGAGTTACCCATTCTACTCTGGCATTAAAGATCAGGCTGTGTTTGCCCTGCCAGAATGACATGCTGTCATGTAGTTTCAGGCAGTAGAAGGAGATTCTGTGTCTGTATTATGATTTCTCCATTCCAGAACCAGAGCAAAACTGTAAGTCAGGTACATTTCTTACAGCACTGTTTGCCCATTACACCTCCCTGAGCCTTAGGCAGACAAATGGTTTTCATTCCTGATACAATATGACTTCCTTAGAGAAATATCCTGCTTCACATGCAAGTGTGCAACAGGGTCCAAGCCTTTCTAGAAAGCCTCAGTAGCTAGCACATAGGAGAGTGAAGAAGTTCAGAGATAACACCATGTTATTTACTTTTTAGCAGGTTTTTTCCCCACCAGAAAGTAAGGGTACACTTATTTCCCTAAAAAACAAGGAAAGTCTGAACATTGTTCATGCAGCAGTGGTAATATGAACTAGACTCAAAGGATGTGTTTCTGTCTAATTCCCCTCACTCTCACTTGGCTGAGCATTTCCCACGAGGAAGGGCTGGTAGAAAATTCTGGCTACTTCCTTGAGTTTGATTTAATTTCAAAAGTCCAGACAGCAAAAACCCGAACCAACTCTAGTTCTAGTATCTTCACCTTTCCTGTTTCCTAACCCATGTGCTGGGCACCCTTGCAATCCAACGTGCAGAAGGTCAGGCAGTGCTGGAGGGCAAAAGCAAAGTGGAAAATAGTATTTCCTGAACTGAGCATACTTCTCTGTCATGTAGTGAGCATACACTCTTCTAAATGGAGTTATTTTATCTTCAGCTGTTAGAAGTCAGTTAGACCAGAAGGATTTAACCCGTATGTGCAATGAGCCAAGGACATCTGGGATTTAACTGCAGGATGCAATGCCAACTTCTTTCCTACACTTTTGTCTTAGCTGGTTCACACAAAGGTGAGGCATAGAATTTGGCTCTTATGTATAATAATACTTAGTTGCTACCTTTTCATCATCATATGATGGGAAAAGTCTTCCCACTTCTCCTGCCTCTTTGTTGTCTTCTTGCATCCTCTCCATTCTGTCTTGCTCTTATTCCTCCCCTGTATCTGTACATTCTTTCTGCTTGTCCCCCTTTTTCCTTCCTTGAAGCACACCCAATAGCTAAACTTCCTGAAGTTTTCAATTTTCACCTCCCTTTGTTCTGTCCTTTTTTAAGGATAGCAGAGTTAAGACTGATGGGCTTTTTTGTGGGTGTGTGTCACCACTCGTGTTCAGAGTGAACATCTGTTGTATAATGATGGGATGAGGCCAGTTCCTGTATTACCAATTCAGGCCGATACCATTGCACAGGGTCACACACGTAAGGCTTTCTTTACCACCATGAGGAATCAAAATTTACTTTAAAAATAGATAAAATATAGCTTCTGCAGAACCTCAGTATACGATTTGTCCTACCACAGTACTGGGCCATGAATCTGACCACACTACTGGAAACTGTTAGCCACCTTCTGACCACCTGAAAATGCTGCTGTTAATGGCTAAGTTAAAAGCAGCTCTACACTTTGTTCTGGGACCCTCTGAAGCTGGTTGTTTCTAAAGCATGCCTGAAGGGTGTGAAAATTGGGTATCTTCTAGAGCATGACCCTATTCTGGGAGATTTTGGAGCTGGAGAAAATCTGGAATATCTACTGATGATGCAGCTTTTGATGGAGAAGTGGGCAAATGGCTCTTTGGGCGGGAGGCGGGCAGAAGCTGTTCAACTGGGGAATGCGCTGGGAGCACTGGAGTGGGAATGAGAGAGGGAGGAGTAGGGGGGGTGCAGGGAGTTACTGCTCTGTCTGAACGGAGCTTGTTTCTTGCTGTAATCAGAGGGATGGCCTCCCTCAGCCTCCTGGTACTGAGAGGCACTTCACCTTCCTGTCCCTGCTGAAGCAAGGTGCTCAACAGTAGAAACTACTTACCTGATAACTGCTGCACTGAAGGCTGGTCATGTGTGCTTAACAACTGTGCCTGAATGGTTTCTACTACCCTCTTAAAACGACGGCTTGGACCTGTGAGGAGAGAAGAGGCACAAATGGCCGTGAGAGGAGTGGGAGCTGAATCCTCATGCAACCCAGGCTGGAGGGGAAAGATCACAAGCATCTTCCCTTCAGTCTTGTCCCCAGGAGTGTACTGACAGTATATCTGTCCCTACAGCCAAAGTTATGACTTTAAGGAACTATTACATGGCTCTCACATTAATAGGGACTGTGGCGTGCTGGACTTATGAGAAGGAAGGATGGCTTCTGGGCTCATTTTATAAAGGCAGAAAAGGTAGGGGTTTGTTTGTTTGCTTAAACCCCTGTGGGGGGCATGTGGCCACTGAGAAGAAAAGAGTGATTGCATGTTTCTGTCAGAAGGAAGAAACCAGTGGCCTCACAGTGCCCAGCTGAGACACTGAGACCTTTGATTGAAACAAGGAGACAGTACAAGGAGATACTTCAAATCTGATGCACGGAGTAGCCATTTTAGCACTAATCATGGAGATGGCAACTTTGCCACGGTTACCTGATAAGAGTGTGAAAGTGACAGAATAGATCCCGTTCTCCTTCTGCGCCTCTCCCCCTTCTGTGTATGTTATGTCCACCTGGAACTTCACTGGCTTCTGGAAGACAGCAGGACCTCCTGTGGACTTATATTCTGCACGGAAACTTGTCTGTGAGATGACACTGTGACTGAGGCTTGGGATCTAAAATGGGTTGGTAAAAGGAGATAGTAAAACCAGAGCACAAAGAGAACAACATTGCAAAACTTGATTTAGAACAATATACATTTCCAGAATGGATATGATTTGCTGGATTTGCTTCTGGCCTTGAATTTGTAATGTACAAGAGTGTTCTTGTGAAGTCACAGAGACTATAAAGGAGTGCAGTATTTTGTGGAAAACAATATAAATTCAACAAACGATACAAAAAATTAAGTCTCCTCTTAATTCCATTGAAAAAAAGTCTAATTATTCTGTCAACTACCTTGAATTGAAACATCTGTCAGATTAACTTTACTGTGCTGACTTTTCTTCATTGACACTTCTAGAGAGTGAGACAAAGGACTTTCTGTAGGAAAAAAAGACAATATCTTTCTTCATTCCTAGGTTGTAAATAAAGTGCAAATGCAACAGCTGATACTGTGGTCACCAAAGGACATTACTTTTATTTCTGCCATACAGCACTGAAGAGGAGTATTAAAGTAACAAATGCAGGTGTGAGACGGGATTTTTGTCTGACTAAAGTGGTGGAGGGCATAATTAGCAGAGTGAAACCTAATCCAATGCCCAGGCAGTGACTGTAAGGTTAGGTTCACAAAGCAGCAATGACTGTCTTGATACTGCACCAGCGGTGTGCTCTAACTGCAGTGATATTCCAACCAGGAGACCCTGCCAAGAAGGCTGAAATCTTTTCTCACCTTAGAGAGTACTGTCTACAGTTAGAAATTCAGACAGAGTCCAGTGGAGGCCTGAATCAACAGGCCACATCAATACAATCCACAGAGGATGCAGTTGAAGGAGCAGAGACCCTGCCCAGTAACATATGGCACAAAGAGTCCTGGACCTGACCAGTGAGCAATGTCTCCAAGACGCAGCTGTGGTGACTTACCGAGAGGAAAGCATGGACAATATCAGCCTTAATGGAGCTTAGTGGCTTGTCCTTAATGACCACAAAAATCTGCTCTTCTTTCTCCAAGTTGATGAAGTTACCGAACCAGGATTTTTTGGCAAGCCTGACATGATGGAAAGAAATAGGTGGTTTAGAATGTTGAGCACTATTTCTCACATAACCCCAGCTAGAAAAAATATTTTAAGACACACATGGAGTTTCTGATAACAATCCAGATGTGATACTATTATAATAAGTGGAAAACAGTGTCAGAGAACGTCCAGAACAACACTTCACTTAGTGAAAAGTGTTAAATTGATGGACCACACCATGTTAGTCCAGCAGTATGTGTGACCAATGAAAAACCAAGAGCAATGGTAACTCTTTTGACTGAGCCAAAATACCAACTAATACTGCATATATAAAGTGCATATAAGCCAGGGGATACATTTCTGGTTTGTCTCTAGGGATTTCGTCATTATTTGTGAAGATACATGGATGCTGGTAACACAGGGATTTAAGTTCCTTCCCACCTGATTTCAACCCCTTTGGTGTTCTAGGACTTGGAAAGTTCATTTTTCTGAAGGCGTCCTGTTGGGCTGACAGCTTTTTAAAGCAAGTTGTAGGTTTCACTGGACCTCCAGTCTGTCAGTGAGTGAAACCTACTCCTACACAGAGGGCCAAGACAAAGACTGTCCCATTCATTAGTCCCATACAGGACTAATTCAGGACATACAAGGAGTGGACACTAGCCATCCTACAAAGGAATGAATTTTAAGTACTAAGACAGAAGATATCAACACCATGCAAAACACAGTTCAGGCCTTCCTTGACAGCAGTCCAAAACTGCAGTTCCTTTCAACATCAGATTGTGGGTTCATCATAAAATGAAACGGCTCTGTTTTTTTCACACTGATGGTATCAGCAAATATTTGATTTTGCTTATTGTTTCACCATCTCAGTGCACTTTGTTGACATTCCTTTTTAAGTTAAACAGGCTACAGGAAAAATGGAGGGACATGAATGTTGTTGGGGGATGCTACCAAGAACGTAACGGTAGCACCTCTGACAGGTGTGGTTTTTAGGGGAGAGAGGATGCTGTCAGCCATGAGGTATAGCCACAGAACTGCTAGACCAACCTCAACCCAGGGAAAATTCCACTGAAATCAGCCATATTCTAGCAGGGAAGAATTTAGCACAAAAATGTCAGAAATTAAAAGACCTGTCACCAAAAGCCTGCAGTTTTTTTCCTCCACAGGGTACTTTATAATGCCATGACATATCTAGTTTGCAGTAAGGCAAGCAATAGGCTTTCATTTGTTTTGGCAGGCATTCACCATTCAAAGAAAGAAGACAACCTCTCCAGTCAAGGAGAGCCATCTGCAAAAAAGGACTACTACGCATCAGCCTTCTAGCAAAGCAGTAAACAGCCGATGAGAGGTATTAGTAGAGTCACTTTCCATGGCAAAGACTTAGGCTGAGGCAGAATGAGCAAAGGCAGAGACTAGAAGTGAGAGGAGCAAATTAGGAAACTAATTTGAAGTCTAGACCTTTGAGATAAAGAACAAAGCTTGACCTCAGCAGCATCTACCAATTTGCACTCACTCCCCATCCCAGAGTGCTCCATGAGTCACAGCGGTCGTCTCACTGACCACTCAATGCACACAGCAGAAAGACGACAACTGGAAGACAGCTCAGCTGTGCAAATAATCATTTGCTTCTACTTACTGCAGGCAACCAAAAATAAGAGTACACTTGCAATTTGGTAAACCAGTGCCCTCCACTCAATTAAAGTGGGCTGGAAAACAGTCACTCCCTAAAATATTCATAGGCAGCTACAACTAAGTGAGCCAGAGATTAGCATAGAGAGCAGTGAAGAGAAAGGGCCTCTCATTTAAATGGGTCGTTAAGGAGCCAGGGTTAGAGTGTGAAAGGAAATTACACACTAATTAGCTCATGTGTCTCACATACACCATAACAACTCCACAAGCCCCTGGAGGGCTGGGGCAATAGCTCCCTGCATGTTAAGGGTCTATGCTCATTAGTAAATTAGCACCTGGTTATCCATCTAAAACGGCTGGTTGTTGTAGGCTTGCATGTATCATAATCTGAACTGGGGCTGGCTACGTGGACTCCAGGGGCCCAGTGTATGTCACATAGAGAAGGTAGGCCTAAAAAATGTGTGCATAATTAATTGCAGGTCTGCCATGTTAAAATATGGCTTTTTATTTTTGTATCTTCATTAATGGTTTTGCTAGCCCTTCATTTATAGGTCTCCTAACAAGCACAGGTTAAAAGGGCCCCTGAACATAGGCAGGTTTTCTCCTGTTCAGCTTGGAAACTTGGTCTGGATTCTCCGGAGTCCAGCTGGGCTCTTTTCTTCAGCAAGGTTATCACCAGGAACACTGACTGAAAGATTCACTGAAAGCCTGGGCTACAGTCCAACTTGTAAATCACTGGAATTCACTAAATAATTTTGCTGGCGTTGCGTAAGATGGAATAGATGCCCTCTCCTGTTTCTGGAATGAACAGAATCAAGACATACCACACATGCACAGGCTTTTCTCCTGGAAATCAGCAGAACTGACTGTGCTCGCATACCCAGGGAATAGGCCCACTGAGGAACAGGGGGCAGCTTTGGAGTAAAACACCACCAGAAAGATTTCCCTCCTCTTAGAGCATGTTAAGTGCTACTAACTAGGGTTAAAACGTGTATGAATCAAAGACCCTCTGCACCCTGAATGGAGAATGAGATACTCTAGCATCTCATAAGATCAGGCTGTAAGCAGTAAAAAATGTACTTAAAATTAACAATCTTGTCTTGTCAGGGCAAACCTCCTAAGGAGTAGGGAGACAGGAGATACATGTGGGAGGCTGGGTATGTAGATTACTCTAGGGAATCTAATCAGGTGTCCAGTTGATGAAAAAGCAGATAGATTTGCATGAAAATGGAGGCTGGTGCTTTATTACTTCACACTGCATTTCTCACTGCTATAATGTTGTTCCTTTTCCTACTTTTGGAGTGTCTGACTGCATCGCCTTCTGGACAGCCTCACTGTCTTCCCTGTATGTCCCCAAGCACATGATCTGCAACCTCAGAGGTATACCTGCTTGGCATAAGGAACCGCATTTCTACTCAGGCAAATGGAGCTTTGCGGGTTTAAAGCAGCTGGATCTATGTCTCTTTAAATGTCACCACTAACACATTTTCTAGGACTTTTCCATATGAGAAAGAATGGCATTACCCAGACATGTCAAAGTGTATTACCTAATCATCAGGTTTGTTAAATGAATGGCAATCATTAAAGAAAGAATGCTGTACCAGAGCAAGGACATGGATTTTTATCGCTCAACCCGTGAAGTCAATATAGCTCTTGATAACGATACCTTATTTCTTACAGAAAGGAAGAAAACACTAGAAAAAATAAGATGTGTGGAAGTGGGCACTGAACAAAACATCTATCGTTAAAATAAAATTCAGTTCATTATTTTTTATTACTTTTATTTTGTTTACTGCAGGGTGCAGCCCAATTGAACTCATTAATTTGGCAATTACACAGAAAAAGAAAAAAGGGCCTTAGGCTTTGACTTGCATCCAAACTGCCTCAAATGACAGGCACTACTTCTCTATACCAGCTTTTAAAGAGTGAGTGGAAAGCAGAGAAGGCAATAAATGAGCAGAAAAAATTCCACCAACATACATGCATGGAGAGGGAGAGGGAGAAGGAAAGGGAGAGGAGAAATTTAATTGTGAAGGTTTTCTGATTTAATGACCTTAAAAACACTTGAGATGAGAGTATCATGTATTTCTTTGATAAGAAAAATAAATAATTTTATGAAATCCTCTCATGCCTCTCTATTAGCAAATGTTCCAAGCTGTTGAAAACACAATTTATTCCATTTTTCTCCCTGGATTTTTTTTACTAACCTTTACTATTCCCTACTTCTCCAACTCCTGAAGTCTTTATCCCCCTCCATTCTGCAGCATTAGATACAGAGTGCCCGTCTTATACCAGATAAATGCAGGTCTAGGGAAAGCTGTTAAGGCAATACTATAATCACCAATTACAAAACTTTGGGCCCAAATTTTCCATCTACGACTCATGAATATTTCAAACAAGTATCTTGACAAAAGGCCAAATTGCCTTGGTTGGCAAGGTAAGCCTATGGGCACTGGGTGCACAAACACAAGCTGTGAAAATAAAAAGGAATAATTTGGCATCTGTTGCATATATTAGGAAGTGTTGGGAGCAGCATTCTTTGGCAGGGACTTCCAAACCTGCCATGCAGTGACGCACATTTGTGCAGTGAAATGGTTGAAACGTACACTGACTTTTAGGAATGAGGCTGGTGAATATAAAACAGCTTCTGAATGTCCCAGTGCTGCTGCCCAGAATTAACACTGCATTCACTATCACAGCCAAAGATTCCTCTGAATTATCTTAGCACAGGCTTCTGCACGTTATCCTGAGGATGCAAACTCTCCTGTACTAAAAGGAAGACTTCTAAATGCATAGTTAGTGCCAGTATCAGTCAGTGATTATCCTTTCCACTCCCCAAGAGTGACTTGCTTGACAACCAGATGAAAGAAGAGAGAAGAAACATGCTACAAACCTAGTAAATTCAGCAAGCCATGAGAAAACAAGGTGGTTACTGAGAGTTTGTTTCATCATCTGCTGACCCCACTGCCATTACTGAGGTCTAGATTTTATCCAGAGTCCTTAGCAGAAGAACCCTTTTGCATCTCTATCCCACTCACAGGATAACAGGTTACAGTCAGTTACTGATCCAGAACAGGAATATGTCACCTCATGACATTCAGGCAAGGAAATAACATTGGTATGTGGTGGGAAAAAAGTGTACTGGCAAATTACTTACTCTGGGGATGATTCTGGGGTTAAATTAGACATCTCCTCTGGTGTAGGTACTGCCCATGCATGCACAGCCAAAGAGAGGGAGGGAGAAAAGAAATTCATGATTCAGTACACCTTCCGTTTTCTGCTTGCATACCAATGAAAGAACTGTGGCATTACACTCTGCCTCTGCAGACTAGTTCTGACATCTGAACATCGGTCATGTCTCTAGATCACTGTATCTAACCAAGTATTGCATTTCAAGGATCACCCTACCCTTCCTTAAATCGTAATGTAATCTTGCACTGGTTTCAGTGGTTTCTGGTTCAGACCCAAACACTGTGCCAATCTGATCGCTTTACAATTGCTTCAAAGCCCAGTTGGATGCAGCTCAGTCTCTACTGCAATCCTCTGCAGTTCTCTGGCCATCTCGGTTACAATGTCTCTGACCATCACAGTTCAAAATCTAACTCTTTCATGGTTATAATCCTCCTGTCCCATGGGATCGTGTCCCAGCACTCTGTAAAACCACAGGGTGTTGGGATAGCAGCTGCTGACATCTGAGGATAATGCATGTGACTTTGGGTCCCCTTTGCCTGAATGCAAAAAGCCACCTGGAGCTTGAAGAAGAAAATTTTGCAGATCTCAACACTCTAGAGACTCTGAGAACTGAAACAGGCCAGCAGATACGAAACCACTGATTGTATTAAGGAGATTTTTACACCAATTACCAAAGGAGGTAAAAAAAGCATTACCCAAGATCAAATAAGCTACGCCTCAGAAGGACAATTTCAGCCACCAGCTATCTTTTTCAGCAGAAGGCTCAGCCCGTGGCTTTGAAGAAGCAGTGGAGCCCAGCCACAGGGGAAATGGCAGAGCTCTAGCTTCGCTGACAAAATGAGTGGAGAAGCCAAAGATAACGTTTTCTTGTGTTCTCAAAGCCACATCAGGGATAGTAAGAGCTGTATGGCTAGACACAAGAAGAGGGCTCAGGAGATGCTGTTGGAGCAGGTGCAGTAGCATGACAGAGCCTGCTCACATGTGCCTTGGGTTAGGGCTGGCTGACGCTATCACTCTCATTTTTAATACCAATATTCAGTCCTCAATACATGAAATTTGCAGAGCCACAGAGAGGTATTCAAATGCTGCTGAATATCTGCCCCAACCAGAACCACTTTACTTTTGGGTGAGTACTCACCTTGTAATTTCCGGCGATGGAAGCGAGGAGACCCCAGGAAACTATTCTTGATTGAGTTGAGTCGTGTCCTCCATGGCATTCCTCCAATGCTGGGGCTGGATGGTGGTGTTGGGTTGGGTGTGCCTGCTGGGCTCTCCTTTGGCGTATGGACAGGTGTCCCCTTGGGGGTAGGGAGGGGACTTCCCCTTGGAGAGGGGTGAGGGGTGACCTGTATGATGGGGATAGATTTGGTGCTTGGGTCAGTACTAGAAGGGAGCAATCTAACAGGAGACATAGGGTTGGTCTGCACTTTGGGAACAGCCAGCTGTGGGTTAAAGCTGGCAGCAGGCGAGCGGCCCTGAGCGTTCTGCACAGGGTTGTTCTGGGAAGAGGGGGCGCTGGTATTGCTGGTAGGAAGTGGGTTGGATTTAGTAGACTGGAGTGGTTTTTCAGCCAATTTGCTCTTGGATGGCAAAGTCTGCGTCTTTGGGTTGGGCTGAAGTGCTGGCTTTGGTTGGAGTACATGTCCAGGCCTGGAGGCGTTCCTACAAGCATCAGGGTCCAAGGAGACTTGGGGTCGGGGAGAGAAAGGGAGGTCGGAGGTCTGAGGGGGGATGAAGAACTTTCTGATAGGCTACGAGACAGACGCAGTGTGTCCATGCGCATCAAAAACAGTGAAATATGCATAGAGCGGGCGAGCAGAGAAAGGAAGGTCAGAATAAAATCCATCCGAGTCACAAAGATGCACCATGTCACAAGGAGACACAAGAGATGGAGGTGAAGGGGTAGTGGAGGGGAGGGATTTTGCAAAGAAACAAAAACAAACAAACAAACAAAAAACAAAAAAAAGACATGCAGTTAGCTGGGAACACAGCATAATCAACAACAGCAGCAGTGGCAGCAGCAAGAACAACAGTGTCATAACAGGCTTCATCATATTAACCAACCATGTGTCAGCAAAGGAAAACAACAGAAAGAAAAGTAAAACAAAGGAAAAGTAAAAAAAAACCACAACAAAACAACCAATAAAACCAAACAAAACGAACGAAAGTAACCAAGAAAGAAGAAGAGAGAAATGCCATCTCTCTGGGATTGTTCTGATTGCCCTGCAGTGAGAGAAGCATGATGCTGTAGGGAGGTGAGGAAAGGGAAGAAGAACCACTCAAGCCACAGACAAATTGAGATGTGCCAAGAATGGGACCACCTCTTTCAGCTCCAAGTGCCCATATGCAAACCCAGCAGAGAGATGAAACTCAAAACAGGTGTGTGATACAAACGGAGTGGTAGGTGATACACACAGGTTACTGCACACACCAGTCAGAACCTCTTTCCTTCCTCTTTACCCCTGGCTCTGGCTAATGCACACCCCGGTTGCAGCCACCCATTGCAGAAAGTGGAGGAGAAAAGGGAGAGTGATGCCACATACGCATCCGCTCTTCTCCCCTGGCCTGGAAGGTTGCACCACTCAGCATTCACTTGGAGGTTTCAGAGCACACACCACCATGAGAAAAACATGAACTCAGGTTGGTGTTTGATTTGTAAACAGCTACAGCAAAAACTTCAGACAGGCCTGGCAAATTTGTTTATGTGGGAAGAGATGATAATTCCCATCAGACTTTCTCCAGCAACAACCCTCATTGCTTCAAAGGAGAGCCTGGCAATTGGAATTTCTGTCATAAAGTCACAGCAGTATTTGCCGTTACGTCCCAATTCTATGGAGGGGGTAAGGTGAGACACTGTTTTGTAAGACAGTTTAAAAAGAAAAAGACCACCAAAGTTCATAATCCAACACTGAATTATCAAAATGGGATTATGAATTTTTTTTTCCAAACAAGAACATTTACACATGTTAGAGGCATTCTGGGAAACCATTCATATATTGACAGCAAACAGCAATACACAGACTTGGGAGGATAGAAGCCTTTTAAAGGGAAATTAGCAAGCTAAAAATCACATATAAAACACAACTAATGTCCTTACAAAACATTGCTGCTAACACCTTAGATTACACGTATTGGCAGAACTGTAAAAATACAAATCGGTACTCGATCTTTAGCTTTGGTCTGCACTCAGATTCTGATTTCTATAAATTATTACCTATTATAGATTATTTATCACTATTATTGTTATTACTACTATCCGTTCTTAACACCTAAAAGCTGTAATCAAGCACTGTCCAGACATACCATGTACAGGTAACCATGCCTCAAACCTCAGTCCCAGGTAAACGCACTCACTGGTGAGTTTACTTTCTGGGTTTGATAGATTAGCACAACGTTGCCATATTTAAAAAATGCAGAAATGTATTTAAGACTTAAGTTCTAAAATTGTTTGGATCAAAGTCTAGTAATTACTTCAAAGAACACAGGATTAGGCCACCAAAATTAAAGAAAATCACTACGGTGAAACGTTGTATTATTATTAGGACTGTAAAGTGAACGTAAAGTCTGCCACGTTGGTAAATTCTGATCACCAAAGAGAAAGAAAGATGAGAAAAGTCTCACTTTATCAGCATCTGACTATTAACCATTTGCAAATGACAGTCAAAGATTGTAGTTTGCAAGTGCTTCGTTGCAATTCTTGTTATCTTATGTGTATGATGGTTTGAGAAACAAATTTGAAAGAAACAAAGTCAAATTCAACTCCCACTGAAGCAATTAAGGATCTGAAGGGGCACCCTTAGTTACTGTATTTTTAATAATGAAATAAAGAACAAGATTTGGTCTAGATTTCAGCTGGTAAAGTGGGGAACACCATTAGCAAGATCTTGTGAAATTTAAGAGCTCTTAGTTGCTGTTGAATTTAATTCCTCATAGAACTGAACCTAAGCAGAGCATAAAGTGAAATATGTATTTACTTTTTAAAGTATGTTGTCTTTCAATAATCCAAGGTGCTTTTAGAAGCACGGGTAAGGACATTTTAAAATATTTTTACTCCAACATTTCCTTTTAAGCCTCAAATGTGACCTGCCTTAATGTTGTTATGATCTACTGAAAATGCCATCTGGCTGCTATATCCCTTTGAAGACTATTTAATCAACTGCCTATTAAGTAATAATGGTAAGATACAGCAACTACAGAACAGATCTTGTCATTCTTATTCTTTGATGCAGTCTTACTGAGATGTCAGAAATTGATCCCAAGAGATCAATTAATGAGATCAAGATTTGTGTTTGCTGCACTGGATGCTCTTTTTTTTGTGCACAAAACTGTTTCCACTCTCCTTCTCAGTACATTTTACAGTGGCATAAGAGTTCTCAGACCTCTGCTTCATTCCACTGACATCCAGGAGTCCCAGTGCAGAAACAAAGAAATGGATCTTCACTGGCTCCTGGCATGTTAAAGATGCAGAGGACACCACAAACACATTTATGCCAGCTGCAAAACAGGGTAACAACAGATAGGAACCCAGAACCTGTTTCAGAAAATAGTTCAAGCAAGCAAGGAGTTGGAAGCTTTTCTAGCCTATAAACTTACACCCGACAGTGCATCTTTATGCACAGGAATTACACACAGTGTTACTGGGGAATTATAAATACTTGGAATACTGATGCTATCATAGTATACCCAAGAGTCTATAGATGTATCCATGCCCTAACACATGGAATATATCCATTTCCAATGGGGGATGGCATTTTCTCATGAAATTATGAAAAGTATGCAGAAATCCTCCAAAGATTAAGATAATCAAGTAACACGGATTGCCATAGCACTACAGACTTCTTGATGAGGTCTAGACTTTTTTAAGGACTGCAGGCTTGAAGTGACTAAGCTGACCTTGTCAGACACTAGCAATACTCACTCTTATCTTTAAAGAAGATACCAAGGAGAGGGAGGCCTCTGTCATTGCACTTAGAAACTGTAATAACTTGGCAACAGATGTGTTATCAAGCGTGTTTTGTACTAGCTGAGTATCAGTATAAATACTGTTGACTGTACATTGAATAAGGGCATGTGAATGTACCTTATTTATAGGTACATTTGAAATACTGTGTCTCATCTTAGTTAGTTAACTTCTTACTTTCCTTTTAAATTTGCTAGCCCTCAAATTTGTATAATCTATTTCCTCTGACTTTCTAATACAAGCTATTCCGAGGCAAACAGAATCAAGCTGGTTGTAACTGGCATGGTTTGATGCACTACTGTGACCTGATTAAAGGTAGTTGTGAAATGGTTCCGGATATGTGGTCTAAAACCATACCGTATACAGACCTTGGCTGGACATGGCAATGTTTAGTAATAGCAACGTTATTCTATGTGCTTATGAGACTGAAAAAGGGCAGGGGCAAAGTGAGATCTCTGCTAACAGTGCAGGGAACATGTATGAGAAATCCTCTGCTTGCATTTGTAAATAACATTTCCCTCATGACCCATGAAAATTTACAGGCTGCCAAGGAAAAACAAAGCATCCCAGCTAAGAGCCACATCTCTGCAGCAACAGATGTCAAAAAGCATCAAGCATGTGTGAGTGAATCGGACCAACAAATCTTGAAGCAGCACCACTTACCCTTGGACTGCTGAGAGGACTGGTGGAGAGCCCAGATGATGCTCCGCTGATTGACCGAGACCTGAATGGACACAATAAGGAAAAGAGCCCTCAGAAAACCTGGATAAGTAATAACCCTGAACACCAGCCATTGCAGGCACAGGCATGACGTGAGGAGGACGAGGGAGGCTGCCACTGGAAAAGCACATGACTCTCCTTCCACTACTGTCACCTTTTTCAATTGTCCCACCCGCAAAACAAAGAAATGCTGTTGCTCAGGGCGTATATCCCTTCGCATTAAAGGAGTCGGTACCTTCTTGTTGGTCATCAAGCACATGAAAGCTTCTACGTCTGCCCTATGCAAGCTGAACTGATGAATTCAAAAAAGACTGTCAAGAGATTCATGTTGGTGCTGAGAATTCTCTTCTGCACAGTGCTAGTGGACACAGACTGAGACTTTCTCTGTCATGAGCAACATGGAAAAGCACCGTGTGTACAAGGCACAAAGGTAAGGGATTCTTCCAGGTATTACAAAAAACCCACCCAAGTCTCCATGACCCAGGCACATAATGGTTTCCTATGTGACGACTTGCCACCAAAATCAAAGCTTATATTGACTTAGCCCTTTCCAGCTTCTCGCTGATGGATTTTACATCTCTGCTCTCCGGTAAGATTTCCTGCTGTTGCATTAAACAAGCCAGGTCTTCTTTATGGATAACGAGTTCTGCTGTGGTTGATGACTTTACTAATATCAAGATAACAGCCCAGATGCCCTCAAAAAGAGGCCAGACAGGGGAAAATAAATTGTCCTTCTATTTGCTGACAAGGTCACCTACACTGTAATGCTCTTATGCTCTCAAGCAAGGGCCACTTATGAAAAATGTCAGCTGTAGACGATAAAACGTACAAATGTGGTATGCTAAATGTGCTGAAAGGGCAGACAGGCCAAATGCACAAACATTTCAGCAGCAGAAGTTTTCAGGAAGAGGGCTGCCCCTTAAGGAAAAAAACCCCTCTGTGTGACTGTAAATGAGTAAATCCCAGAGGCAGCTGCTTTCTATTCTTTTAAAATAGAAATAAAGTCATCTTGAAGACTGAAACGTCTTATAGGAGAAGACTTGGCTAAGAACCTAGTTGCTCAACAGCCACCATGCAACATGTCAATACAGCAAACCTACCAGTGTTTCACCTATAGTGATACAGATATATAGAGCGATGAAGGCAATTACTGCCATCAGGTAACATGAAAAGGTGAAGTCCTGTAGATGCGTGGAAAACAGAGTGCATGTGAGTATGTCTATACATATGCATCTACGTGTGTGTGCATAAATATATATATTTAAAATTGATATAGGTCAGACAGTTAATGTCAGCTTATACGTAAGAGAATATTAACTAATACAGATCATAAATTGTCTCAGTTTACTCTCTTCTGCTCTTACAGAAGAATAAAACAAGAACAAAAAAATAGCTTCTAAAATGGTCTCTCAGACATATATTACTAAATAAATTTGAGTAACAGAATTATTAAAAATTATGTGAACTGCAAAAGAGGAAATATTTCCAAGGAAAGAGTAAGTTACAACTGAACGCAATGGCAAGTCCTGTTCTTTCTGTGTGTATCCTCTGCAGAAACTGCTCACTAATGGTTTTCTTGTTGCAGTTTGTCTTTCACAGTAAACAGGTGAAACCCAGAAGCCCAGTCTCAGAATGCTTTTTTTTTCCCAGATTAAATCTAAATTTGCACCATGAAAATCTGGGGCATTCATTCCATGCAGAAATTCCCCACTTACATCTTTCCTTGTACCCTGCTGCAGTCTGCCCATCATAGTATAGCAGTCAAAAACTAGAAGCTCAGTCTTGGCATACTTTTGCACTAGATTAAACCTAAATTTGTACTATCAAGATCTGGGGTACTCATAAATGTTTACGTAAAGTAATTTTAAGGGAAGAACCATCTGCTCCACTTTTGAATCATAGCATCATAGAATCACAGAATGCTTTGGGTTGGAAGGGACCTTTAGAGGTCATCCAGTCCAACCCACCTGCAGTGAGCAGGGGCATTCTCAATTAGAGCAGGTTGCTCAGAGCCCCATCCAACCTGACCTTGAATGTTTCCATGCATGGGGCTTCTACCACCTCTCTGCGCAACCTGTTCCAGTGTTTCACCACTCTCATTGTAAAAAAATTCTTCCTTTGAGGCATTCTAAATCTACGCTCCCTTAGTTTAGAACCATTACTACTTGTCCTGTCACAACAGGCTATTTTATGTGCCTCTCCTATAACTGAGGTAGCTGGGTGCAACACAGATGTGTCACGCATAGAGGAAGTTAATTTAGTTAAAATCTTCCTTGTATGAGTCATCAGGAAAAGCTTCTTCAAAACCATAAATTACAAGAGGAGCCTACAGATTATCTTGAGCAAGTGTGGAAGGCATTTAGGTGCCCAGAGATGCAGATAAACACCTACTTAGTTAAACTCCCACTAGGAACTGTTTCCACCAGCTCTTAATTGTGATGGGAAAGTCCTGACACTCACCTGAATTCCAGGACACTTGATTAAAAGTTCCAATTTGCTATTTCCTCTTTGAAATCAGGTGTTTCCAACAGTCCTGAATTGCCCCCTCCCAACCCCATTGCCTCCTATTTTCGTACAAAAATGATCTCATGCATGGAGGGCAAAACAAGGCAGGCCCCACCTCCCAACTCCCAGTTCCTTATTGGAAGCAATATTTGAAAAAGAGTTGTTGTGTACTGTGCTTTCGTCCAGCCTAGGAGCCTGAGGTAGGGGACAGAAGAGAGAGTTAGTGTGAAATCCTCCTGGAAATGCATTCAGTATCCACATGATTGCTCTAAACCAAGCTTCAGATCTGCTGCTGATTGACATGCAAAATACGTCAGAAGTAAAGTAGGCCCTAGATCAAGTTTTAGTTTGTCCACACTGGAAATCGTATATAGGAGCAGTGGAAAGTGTTTAAAGAATTCTGGGTTAATTTTAAGTGTCGGAGTGAAAAGAGAGCTGTACATTTTCAAAACTTTTCCCCTTTACAAGAGAGTGCTGGTACAGGATATGACACTCAGACTGAGGAGATCTTCCTTGGATCCTCTTCAATTTAATAAATCTTCCATAATTTACCTTTACAAATGGGACACAGTTCCTAAGCTAGCTATAAAACCTCAGTACAATGGCAGATTCTATACTTCAGTACAAAAATGTTAACAAGCAAAACTGACAGATTTGTCCCTCCCATTAAGATCACCTTAGCTGGGAAATGTTAGAATTCAGTTGTGGCTTTTTTTTTTTCCAAAAAAACCAACCAACAAACCCTCATGCACTGCTCCTGTATCTCAGTCAGGTGGACAGAACTGGGACAGGGACAAAAGAAGTGATGAAAACGTTGCATTATGCTGTAATGCTGTAATGAAAGAACAGACAGAATTCAAATTTTTATCCCTCTCACCAGAAAATGAAAGTATGAGGCCTTACAGGCAGCACATTAGTATGGCAGACCTTGAATGATCTCATGTGTGGAAAGAGGAGAAAAATATGAAATCATCTTATCTCTATGGCTTTGAACTAAGTTTATTTAGTGGGAAATATCTGCTAGTGAGTAACCTCCTAAGAGTCTCTACAGGCATTAAATGTCATTGGAAGTAATAAATCTAAAATTATTCCACTAACTTAATACTAAATGCAACAATCTAGGAAACTACGAACTTTGTGTGTGACTCATTTTGCTCTGTGTTTGGGATTGCCGTATGCTTGGGCACTAACTTAATGGAAGCCATCAAAAAGTTGTTGAAAATACGAGCAGAAAAGTTAATGCAGTTGTTCAGATAAAGAACATTCCCTCAAACACAACTGCCAGATTTAGAGACCCAAGAAGAAACTCTTTAGTCCCTTCCAAAGTGACACAGTCGCTTTGCCAAGCCTGGAGGGAGGAATTAAAATAAAAAACATCAACAACAAAAATCAAACCATGAGGGAGCCAGACCCAAGGTTTAGGAGGGGGAAGAATAAAGGGAACTCTAAAAATAAAGCGGACACTGAGACCATTGCAGGCTACTCCTGCCATCTCATAGACTGACAATAATATGGAGACGTCTGAGCTATGAAAGAGCCAAGGTCTGAAACAAAATGTGCATGTGTGGCTTGTAGTTTGTAGATGTGATGATTTTGTATCTTATTCAATCTATTTGATACTTCAGAGTATCAAAGTTAAAAGGTCTTTTGTTTTAAAGTAATTTTTTAGCCAGCTGCTGTCAAAGGGGAAGCCATGCGAGGCCCAATTCACATTAGACCAGTGGTCTCTTACTTGTGAAACTGAGAAGCTGGAATCCAGTTTCCAGCTGGTTTAAGAGAACTGCAGAATTTTTTGAGAGCTATAAGAGGCAACGGGCTGAAGCTTCACACTGCTGAGGTGTAGGCAGAGAGAAACACAAGAAGGAAAAGCACAGCTGACCTGGTAACTGTACTACACATACACCACATATACAGCCCTTCACTCAGATTAATTTTCAAGGGCTTTAAACAGTGCATTTGCTAGTACACACCAGCAGAGTATAAAGGCTTCGCAGCCAGCATTAAACATTTGGGTCAGATTCGGCATTTGTTTCTTCTCTGAATAACCATCTCTCAAATTTTTCTCACAATCAAAGGAGAGTTTGGTACCTTTTCGGAGTCCCAGCAGAACTTGCTTTCATAGCACAGTTTTACCAGGATGCTGAACACAGCCTCTTAACTAGTCAAGCTGGAGCCATGCTTCCAAGAGAGGAGCCTGCAGCATGCATGCAGCGTGCAGTAATGCAACAGACTTGTGTCCCTGGGTGAAATGCCTTAGAAATTTTGAACTGGTTTGATTCCATGTGTAGTTTTGAAAGTCATTCCCAAAATATTCAGCCAACCTCTTATTTGCTTCAAGTATAAATTGGGTGGAATTTGATACTCCTCTTTGCTTGCTCAACTCAAATAAAACAAAAAAATCTAAACTGCATTTCAGGGTATGAGACCCCTGAAAATGACCTGAATTAATATACAATAGGTGAGCAGTCAGGCATTGTGTGTTACAACATTTCATAACTA